TTTGAAAGTCAAAATCAATTTTTTTTAATGTATTCTTAGTTTTTTTACGCTCTATTTTATATTTTGGTTTTTAACTTTTTTGTAATAAAATATGTTATTAAAATTTTGCTTTTTTTCTTTTCACATTTTTTTAATTGCTTTACTGTTCCACTCATTTTTTGAGTTTCTGGTCCAAAATAAGATTCCGAAATATTATTAAAAATTCCAGAATTGCTTTATTCTTTCCAGTTTATTACTTTATGTTTTCTTCTTATTTTTCAGATACATTTTAGTCTTTTAAACTAAATTGGCTCCAAGTGTGTTATTTTTAAGAATTTATTTTATTTACACGAAAATTTTACAAGATTAGAGATATTTTAACCAAACAAACCAAAAAATGTAAAATCAAGTCAGAAATACTATACAAAAGTGCTTTTTGACAAAATAAGGTAGAAATTGTGTTTCATTTTTGCTTATTTTTTCATCGAGAAACTAAAATAATAATTGCTTTTGAAATTTTATTTATTTTGTTTTTATAGTTTTGCAGAAAAAAAGAAGTTTTTTTACAAAAAAGTTATCTAATTTTTTTAATTAAAATTTAAAGTAATAAAAGACAGTTCAAACAAACATTTAATTTTTATTTATTGCCCCTTGGAGAGATTCTAATTACTATTATTGATTTTTTAATACTGACAACAAAAAAATCGGTAAAAAAATTATAATTTTTTAACCTAAATAAATTTAAATCTTAAATTAAGACTCTGAAAGTCAAAATCTACCTTTTTTTAAAGGTATTTTTAGTTTTTTCACGCGCTATTTTAAGTTTTTTGTAATAAAATATATTATTAAAAATTTGCTTCTTTTCTTTACACATTTTTTTAATTTTTTTTAATTGCTTGCTATTTCCCACATACTTAATGTAATTTTCAAAAAAATGGAAAATAACAATATTTGTTTACTGTTCAACTCATTTTTGAGATTTTGGTTCAAAATAAGATTTTGGAATATTATTAAAAATCCCGAATTTCTTTAAATTTATTCTTTCCAGTTTATTACTTTATGCTTTCTTCTTATTTTTGAAGTGCATTTTACTCTTTTTTGTTTTTTTTCTGACAAGATTGTGCCAAAATAAGACAGAGAATAAAAAATTGTCTTCAAGTGTGTTATTTTTTAAGAATTTAATTTTTTTACATGAAAAAATTTACAAGATTGAAGATATTTTAATCAAACAACACAAAAAAATGTAAAATTAGGTCAGAAATACGATACATACAAAATAAGGTAGAAATTGTGGTAATTTTCGCTTATTTTAGAGCACTTTTCCATCGAGAAAGTAAACAAATTTTTACTACTTACTTACTTACTTACTTACTTACTTTTAATAATTGCTTTTGAAACTTTTATTATTTTGTTTTTATAGTATTGTAGAGAAAAAGAGGTTTGAAATTTCAACTTATTTCTACCAAAAAAAAAGAACAAAAGGTATTTTTTACTTTTTAATTAAGATTTAAAGTAATGAAAAACAGCTCAAACTTTAACTTTTATTTACTGCTTCCACATCTTGGAGAAAAAAATAGTTGACTGACACAACAATAAAATAAAAAAAAACCAAACCATTTTTTTGTTATTGTTTCTAACGTAGCTTTTTTGACACTTAGTTCGTGTTAAAGGGAAATAAAGTAAATTTCAACGTATATTAATTTATTATTACTTTGAATGCAAATATACAATTTGAGATGAACATAAACTGTTGTCCTGTCTCTCTCATCCACTTATGTACACAATTACGGTCACAAACCGCCACTTTTACGTAACCGCAACCACCACCATCACTAGAACCATCATCCCATGGGTGTGTCCCACCAAATGTCCCACTCCCGACTTGACCCTCGTCCCATCATCAGCCATCACACTGCTGGCGATAACCACCGGAGCTCCGGCAGCGGCGGAAACGCTCGACACTTCCGGTGCGACGCATGTGGTCACCTGGGGGGCGGTGTAATTGTCGATTCCCTGGCAGCGCAATCGATGTTCCCCCAAACAAGCACTGTAAGCGATGGCATGCGGGATGTAACTCTGGTCGAAAGTCCCGGTGAAGAGAGTGGTGGCGAGGGGACCTAGGGCATAGACGGGGACGTCTTCGCCGCCGTGGGTGGCCCATTGGCGGGGGACGGCCGAGCCGTGGACCTGGTTGCGGTCTTCGGCGGCGGTGCTGGTGTTCATGGGGATGATGCGAGGGGTGGCGTAGCCTGGGCCGTTGCCGTAGAGGATGGTGGTGTAGGGTTGGCCGTCGATGTCTGACACTTTGCTGTCCGGTCCTGGAAATGAGAATTTTAGTGGCAATTTTTCAAACACGACTCTACCAATCTAATCCGAGACGACTAAAAACAGTTTTTTGGAATAAAATATATTATTAAAAATTTGCTTCTTTTCCTTTCATATTTTATTTTATTATTATTAAATTGCTTTATTATTTTCTACATACTTAATGCAATTTCCAAAAAAATTAAAAATATCAATATTTGTTTACTCTTTTACTCATTTTTGAGTTTTTGGTCCAAAATAAGATTCTGAAATATTATCAAAAATCCAGAATTGCTTTAAATTAATTCTTTCCAGTCTATTACTTTACGTTTTCTTCTCATTTTTTAAGAACATTTTGTTTTTTTTTCTGTTTTTTTTGACAAAATGACACGGAGAATAAAAAATTGGCTTCAAGTGTGTTATTTCTTAAGAATTAAATTTTTTAACACCAAAAAATTTACAAAATTATAGATATTTTAAACAAACAAACCAAAAAAATGTAAAATTCTATACAAAAGTGGTTTACCAAAATACGGTTAAACTCACTTATTCAGCAGAATTTTGT